ACCTGGAGGTGGGAAAGTGCACTGCCTGCACTTGAAGGAATACAGGAGGTGGTAAGTACAAATGCCTGCACTCTGAGGATTCGGGGAGGTGGGAAGTATAGTGTGTGTATCTGATGGATCCTGGGTTGGAGTACTTGCTGGCACTCTGAACGATAGCCTGAAAGTGGGGAAGGGGAAATGCAGTGCCTGCACTCTAAAGGATAACCTGAGGGGAGAGTAGTGTTGTCTGCACTCTGGAAGGATTCCTGGAGGTGGGAAAGTACAGTGCCTTGCACTCTGAAGGATACCCGGACGTGGGAAGTACAGTCCTACACTTGAAGGATCCCTGGAGGTGGAAATACAGTGCCTGCACCACTGAGGGATACCTGGAGGGGGTGCGAAGTACAGTGCCCATACACTCTGGAGGATACCCGGAGGTGGGAAGTACATAGTCCCTACACACTGAAGGATTCCTGAGGTGGAAATACAGTGCCTGCACACTGAGGGATACCGGAGGTGGGAAGTACATGTGCCTGCACTCTGATGGATACCCGGTGGTGTAGGAAGTTAGTAACAGTGCCTGCACATGAGGATACGACCAGAAATCATAAATAACTTATCTTCCGTATACATTAACCGTCACCGAGACCAGAAGCCCTCAGCCTAGGGCTCAAGTTTACTACTGGCATAAACAAGAAACATAATTGGTGGATATGGTAACCAGAACCAACCTTTTGAGACTCCGAGTTTCAAAAGGCTTTGTCCAAGGAATTTATCACTGCTGCAGCTACTGAGCCTTCAAGACCGGATCATCCCAGAAGATACATTCCAAGCACTCAGGAACTTGGCCAACACGATGATATTCGTCGTTTACAGACCGACTGACAAGGAGGGTGGTGTGGTTGTTACTCAGCACTGTCGACTACAACAATAAAGTCTTAAATCATTCTCTACGATTGCAACACATACCAGCCTGTAATCAGAATCAGTGCTACTTCAAAAGTACCAGGACTTTCCTTCAAAAGGCTCCTCTGCACCTTACGAAAATCAAGAGCAAGGCAAAAAAATACTTAAACTTTTAAGCCAGGTCAACCGAAACCAGCACGCAGTAGGGCCTTCCTTAGACACCACAAACCTGCATCCCACTACAGCCTATCACATCGGGCATAGGGAGTGCACCACACAGCTAGCGGCACCTTGCAAATACCTTTCAGCGCTTCTGGGCACATCAGTCAAGCCCACCTCAAAACACTCGGTGACCTTTTCTCTCCCCGAATTTTCAACCTGAATGTCAAAACAAAAGCATGGCTTCCTTCGATGTAACAGCCCTCATTACAAACGGTCCTACTGACGTGCAATCAACATCTGAGCAGAGGCTCACTGAAAAAACCACGACCTCTCTTAATCTCTTCTAGATTCATCAATCTAGTTGAAAACTTTGTGTTAATTTAACTTCTTCAGTCTCATGACAAACTGGTACAAACAATGCTTGGGATGGCAACATGGGGAGCCCGCTCAGTGCTGTGCTTGCCAACTCTTTTTATGGAAGACCTTGAGACAAGAAATTCAGCACCCTTCATTCCCAACACCGTTACCTGGCTAAGATACGTTGATGATATATTGGTTTTCTATCCGGGACGTCTCAATACCAGGCCCTTCTCAACAAGATCAATGCAGTTGAACCTTCAATAAAGTTTACACTTGAACTCGAAAATGATGGCAAACTTCCTTTCTAGACGTTTCTACTGTGCAGATTCCCGGACCAATGACAAAAACTTCTTTCAAAGTGTATGAAAACTAACAACAAGGACGATTTATACAATTTTATTACACCAAGAAACCCGCATCAAGAGAGGAGTCTCATTGGCTTCTCGAGAGCTCTTGCCATCTCCAGCCCTTGTTTTCTTAGAAAGAAGAATGCACTACATAACACAAGCCTTTACACGTCTTTTCAGTTCCCATCTTTCTTAATCCGAGATTGCAGACTAAGGACAAGCTATCCTCAACAAACCGCCCATGGACACAGCCCATAAAACAGTTCATAGTACTCCCATGTGGCGATGTTGCCACGAATATCGCCGGGCAATTGCTATGAGTAACATCATCGTTTCCACCAGAAAACACATCATCTATCAAGAACCTCACTACGAAACGCAGCCCACCCTCTAATTCTACAGCAGGTTGTATACACTATCCCTGTGGGTTCTGTCCAAGAAATATGTAGGCGAGGGACAGGCAGAGATCTTGCAGTCCGATGACAATGAGGCATCGAAATGACCTCTAAACAGAGACGGTGTTTGTAAGGTACGCCTGTGTCCTCCACAGGGACTCCACGGGGCATTTGATGACTGTGATTGAGGCACAAACTGTCTCACCGAACCAGACATCAGACGCCGACGGTGCCTAGAAAGCCTCACTAATCGCGTCACGACACTATAGAACGCAACACTGGAAATAACTACAAAATTTATAAAAACATTGGCATTACATGATACTTAAGCAACACCAACCCAACAACACAGGAGTCACATATTTCATCGTCTGACCGTTCTCATCATAGA